CTAAGATATCCGCGTAGTGACGGACCCTCCCCTCTTACTAAGTCGGCCCAACACGGGGGATTTCGGTTCTATCCGTATCCCCGCACTCAATTTCCCAAAAATCCTTGGCACACCCCATCCCCCCCCCCCCCCCCCTCCCCCTTCCGCAATCGAAAACACTCCGAACGGAAGATAGCGCAGGGCGTGAGGTTGCGCGTCACAGACTAGGATTACCAGCATCGACAACTATCATCAACTTATCCGAGCTCAATCAGCCCAACATGATAGTTCAATAATTGACGAGAGATTACTACTGAATTAAATGTCAAGAGAGCTAATGAGCCGATAGAATTCTAGACTTTTGAGACCATATCATTATTTTCCTTTCTGACTCTTTCACCATTCTCACCAGAAAAAACTGTGCCCTGTAGCAGACCACAGCTGCGTGCTGAAACTCGCAGTACGAACGGACTTGGCTTTCAACCGGCCACATAACAGGTTCTTGAAGAGGACAGCAGAATGCCCCAACAGCTCCGAAGTATGGCAAAAAAGATTAGGAATAAAAGATCAAACACACTCCAAAATCTCCTCTCTTTTCTTACCCCCTCAACCTCCCCTTAAGGAAAACAAACAACCATGAGATTCACAGCAGTGGTTAAACCGCTACCGTTTTCACCTGAATAGAATGCCCAGTCATTATAGCTGCATTTGGCCCAACGTTCTATCTAGATGCAGCAATAATGACCGAGCGTTCTATTCGGGTGAAGACGGTAGTACACGGCCCCAGCCTTGCTGAAAAAGAAACTCGGCGCCTGCGAGATGCCATCCGGAAAAGACGGAGCAGGCGCACCGTCGATAAAAAAAATCAGTGGCCTGCGTCGCTTTTCGGATTCTGACAGGCACCCGCGGCTGATAGCTGGATGTACTTGCTTTCAGGCATTGGGTTGTTGAGCCACGGAACGCCGGTTCAATTCCTTACAGGACCGACCAGAAAAAGTAGGAATACAAATGAGACAATCCGCTAAAATTGTAACAATACAGAGAAGATTAGCATGGCCCCTGCGCAAGGATGACACGCATAAATCGAGAAATGGTCCAAATTTTTTCCTCTCTTGTTGCATACTGTAACGTGCAGACCAGAACAAGAACCGACCTTTCAATACAAAGTACAAGATAACACAGCGGAAGACTTAGATACCAGTGATCCGAACAATCAATGTGGTAATGCAGCCCTGAACATACATCATCATCATCGTTTCATAATGTGAATGGGTCTGGCGCTTCACACAGGAAGACAGCGCCAGCCCAGATTATGCACAGACGAGGAGGAAGGGGATAGACGAAGAGGAGGGGGAAGATGGGAATGTCGTCAACACCAAGTCTTCGGCACAAGCCCAAATAGTCCCTCGTCGGAATGTCTGAATCCCAAATGTCAAGTCTGGATCCAATGTCGTCAAGTCTCAAGTCACAACTCTGTCTCTCTCTCTGTCGTAGTCTGAGAAGTCAGGTGACGAGAGGGTGAGAAGAGAAGGTGGACTTAGAAGAGGAAGAAGAACAACTCTCTCTCTCTCTGTGTGTCCAGTACTAACCTGTGAAGTTGGCGCCTTGATGCAGGTACCACGAAGATGGAGCTGGAGCGATGGCGCCACAGGTAAGTAACACTGGCCTCCGCCAGTCTCTCTCCCACTCTACGATCTACTACCTACCAGCGCCCAACGCTGAAGACTACAGCTACAGCTATGGCGCCTAGTGTCGAAGACTACAGCTAGCGCTACCACTACTGCCTAGCGCTGAAGACTACTGCAGCGCTCCTCCTGAGTGCTGCGGCCGAATCCTGAAGACTATTCGTGCCTACTGAACACTACCTACCCGTGAAGTGCATGGGAACCTCCTATGTACTACGGGTGTGCCTCTTGAGCCTGCCGAAGGGAGGCAGGGGCTGCAGCTGCAGCTCCTGCTCGAGCACGTGAGGAACAGGCTATTTTGGGCCTGTTCCGCATCCCTGTTTCCGTGCCTGAGTCTTAGGGGCAGGTCGAAACAATGAGGGCCTGAAAATGGCCCTCCGTTTCAGGCTGAAAACTCTGGGTCTGAAAAGACCCAGAAATAGGCTGAAACGAGGTAGGGCCTGCARGCCCTCGTTTTTCAGCATCCAGGCTGAAATGAACGGGGCCTGTAAGCCCTAAGTTTTAGGCTTTTAGGCTGAATGTCCGGGACGGGCCCTGCAGGGCCCGTGTGGCTACGCAGTATGCCACCCCCCCCCCTCCTTGAAGAACCGGGCTTACCTGCGAGGGCGAAGCTGTCTGTCTGAGGGAGGGACCACAGTTCGGGTGGGAGGGGCTGGTCGTGAAGCTTCCTGAGCTAACCTGCGCTTTTCATAATGCGCGTAGATCAGCGGTGCGGATGCTTTCAAATCTGCGCCTGATATTCACCGAGTGTCGTCGCGATCGCATGCTTTGAATGTGACTTTATACTGTCGCGGCTTGCTGCCGTACTTGCGATCGGAGATGACGTGGTCAACTTCCTAATGGCCATCCATAGAAGGAGGGTCCTGCGATCGTCGGTCCGGAAAGTCGTCGCTCTTGGCTGGCGTGTAAGTTGCCAAGGCGTGGAAGACCGGATGGACCGTCAGATGCTCTGGAATGTTGATCACAAATGAAGGGCCATCGGGCTCATCGCCCGCGGCTGCTGTCACAGACCAAGGTCCAAACCACTTGGAAAGCAGTTTGCGTGAAACATCCTGTTCCAGTGCAAACTCTTTCGCGGAGACCCAAACCAGATCACCGGCGCGGATGGGACATGGTACGCGATGCCTGTTGGCTTGCTGCTACATGCGGACTTGAGCCTTTTGCATATTTGCGAGGGCTTGAGTCAGCAATTCCTTGTACTTACGGACGGAAGAGGGAGAGCAGGCAGCGTCAATGTCGGCTGGTCGAGGGAGGAGAAGGTCGGCGAAGATCCGGCCTTTCCGTCCACCGTGGTGCAACTCGAAAGGAGTCACGCCGATCGCCGGATGCACCGAAGTGTTGTAGGCGAACTCGATGTCGGGGAGGCGGTCAACCCAATCTTTCTGGTCCGGACGGATGAGCGTACGAAGCATCATTTGAGCGGTCTGATGTGCCCGCTCCGTGTGCCCGTCTGTCTGAGGGTGTCGAGCCGAACTTGGTTTCATTGTTGTGCCGGACTCCTGCATGAGAGCAGTCCAAAATGCCGACATGAAACGAGTGTCGCGGTCGCTGACAATGTTTTCTGGTACACCGTGGCCACAAATCCAACCAGTGTGCAGGAGGCGTGCTAGCTCAGGAGCCATGGAGTAGTACTTGCAAGGGAGAAAACGCGCGTACTTACTCAATCGGTCCACAACCGTGAGGATGCCGTCGTGCCCGAGCCGGTCGCGAGGAAACGGACCAGTGACGTCCATAGCAATGGAGAGACCGGGTTCCCGTGGGATAGGCATCGGGGATAACTCGCCATAGGGATTGCGGTTGCGGGGCTTGCTGCATCGGCAAACTTCGCAATAGTCGCAATACCGAGTGACATCGGTAATGAGGTCGGGCCATCGGAATCGCTGTCGAAGCCGTGCAATAGTGCGGTTCACTCCGAAATGGACGGCAAGTCGTGAATCATGGTACTCGCCGAGGAGGCGAGTCCGAAGACGACGGCCGCGTGGGACACATAGTAAGTCCTTGCCTCTCAAGTGAAGGAGCAAGTACCCGTCGGCAATGCGGTAATGGCTGGCCGGCGGGTGATCCGAAGATAGTTGTGCATAGAGCGTGCCGAAGTCCGGATCAGACTTATATGCCCGGATGAAGTATCGCTGAAGTTCCTCGTCGAATGCGAAGGCATGATGTGTCATAGCGCAAAGATCAGGTCTTCGCGAGAGTGCATCCGCTGCGCGATTGGAGAGGCCTGGGACATGTTTTGGTGTGAAGTCAAATTGGTCGATGAAGTACATCCATCGTTCGATCGCGCTGCTCACCGTGTCCTGCGTCTTGTAGTAGGTCAATGGATTGTTGTCTGTGATCCATGTGAACCTACGACGCCCAAGGAGGAAGTGCCGCCAGCGTTTGAGAGTCATCCCGAATGCGAGCAGCTCCTTCTTCCTTGCATCATCAAGCAAGTTGATGGGAGGCACTTTGTGGCTAAAATACTCCAAAGGGTGCTAGTCGTCGCCGTCGTGCTGTTCCAAGACTGCCCCAATGCCATAGCCGGAAGCGTCCGTAGTCACTCGCGTCGGCAGGGTGGGGTCATAAATGCTAAGGACGGGTGCCATGAGCATAGCCGTCTTAAGTGCTTGGAATGACCGACGTGCGTCGTCATCGAATACGAATGGCACCTTTGGCGACTGTAACCTCGTCATAGGTGCAGCAATCCTGGAGTATCCGGTGATGAATCGCTGATAGTAGCCCGCCAACCCCATGAATGAACGAACGTCCGTGGTGTTGGTGGGCTCGGGCCATACTCGCAGGACCTTGATCTT